ATGTTTTTCCATCATTGCATGAATTTTTGAAATAAGATCACTTCCATCTGTCACATTTTTTCGAGTTATTCGACGTTGACTTGTTGTTTTTTCGAAATTTTTTATTTTACATCAGTACTTATGGTATCAAGATATCGAGATATAATTGAAACAAATCAAACAAATTTTTCTAGACAACCATCAATTATAAGTACAACACCTAGTATTCGACATGGTATGAATATATTACTTAGGGCAAACCAAAAGTTCGTAGAGCGGTTTTAAAGAACCTTGTCGGATAAGGTAATCTATTTAGAAATGAAAAACCAAATATACCATATTGTAGAGTTTTTTGAGGCGCATCGAATGGTATATAATAAATCCTGTTTTCATAAGATTTTGAAGGAAGTAGAGTCAATTTACTGATAGACGACTACTTACCCATACTCACACCTTCATCTAAGTATGATAGGTTACTGAATATTGTTGTCCTTGGGATTAGTCGAAAGTATTTGTAAAATATTTTTTCTCACATACGATTTTGCAGAGTTTTTGACGGACTACTACCTCATATATGTAGCATCTCCGGTCATCTTGTCATTAGGGGGGGTATGGGTGTGTAGTCGTCTATCAGTAAATTGATTCTACTTCCTTCAAAGTCTTATGAAAACAGGATTTATTATATACCATTCGACGTGCCTCAAAAAGCTCTACAATATGGTATATTTGGTTTTTCATTTCTAAATAGATTACCTTATCCGACAAGGTTCTTTAAAATCGTTCTATGAACTTTTGGTTTGCCCTAAGTAGATTGTTATTTCTTTATTAGAAACTTTGTTTTTTTTTAATTAGGCTCGACTAGTGAGATAAATGTAGATACAGTTAGTATAAATGATTCAACATCGATTACAAATAATCAAGTATGAATTTTGTTAAATTAATTTTTTTTTTGGGGGGGGGGAGTTTAAAAAATTGTGTATTTTGTAGAAGAATAATGATGAATCAATAGTTATTGATGATAATAATGAAGTTAATAAAATAAATTTACAATCGATATAAATAATAGAAGTGCTACAGCTATTCAATACGGTATATATGATGTAGAGAAGTAACCATAACATTTTTTTTCTAGCAAGTATTGCTAGTATTCCTACTAGTGATTCAACAACAATAAATAAAAATCAATTAACTGAATCAAAACTTCCCGATTATCCAAAAGCAAATTTTAATTCAAATGAATCATCAATGAATATAACAAAAAAATTAGAACGAGCATTATCGAATATAGCACCATTTTTACGTGATATATTTATAGAATTTTCATATATACTTACAAAAACATTAGTTGGTTCATATGGGCAAGAATTATTACCAAGTGGTTTACATGCACTTAAACAAACAGCATCAGTTGTTGAACTTGTTATGTTATTATGTTCACAATAATGGCAAAATTCTCTTCACATAATAAATATTCAAATCTAAGAATTTATCTTGTTATCTAAAAACTTTTTCATACATTTTGTTTTTGGTTTTAGAAACATGCTGGTTTAGCTTTTATTGAATTAGTTAATGAAGGACGTTTATTATCACATACAAGTAAAGATCATGTTGTTAAAGTAGCTAATGAAGCTGATTTTATAGTCAATCGTATGCGTGCTGATGATATATGTAAAGCAAGTGAATTTGAACAATTATCAGCACAAACAACTGTTGAATGTAAATCAGAAAAACAATTATGTGAACATTTTATAACAGCAGCAAGACAACGACATCAAGTTCTAGCATTACGTTTACAAGAAAAATTTTTAATGATGATGATTAATGATAAAACAATTTATTTAATTAGTTCAAGATTATTTTGGAAATTAGATCCATGGGGGAAGATGATTTAAGACGACGACGACGTTTAATACGTAATCCAAATGGTTCTATACATAATGAAGCAACACAAAAATCATCATTTAATAGTATCAATGATGATATAATAATATATTTTATACAAGAAGAAATTTTAATCAAACAATAACAGATGATGATGAAATATTAAAAGTTGATGAAAAAGATCTTGATCAAGATTTTTCAGGACCAATACGTTTTTCAACAGAATGTTCATTAATTTGTGGTATAAATATAATACGTGGTACTTTAGCTATGACACATAATTCTATGTTATTTGATGCTGATGAATATGATGAAAGTTATATAAAAATTGATTCAAAAGTAAAATTAATAAATTATTAAAAATCATATATATATTCGATTTTTTTTTAGATGTTTTCTTATATTGATAATATTCATGGAAAATGGCATTTTAATGAAATACGA